GAGTCTGCATATCGGGAACGCACAGCTCCCCTGCACCACATCTAGCAAGGCTCAGGTCACCACCGCTAAGTCCTCCCAGGACCAGTGCTCCTGCCAGTGTCCTGCCCTCCCACCCTGCACACAAGCTGTGCACACGCTGACAAAAGGCCCCACCCCTTTGATTCTGGGCATTTTTTATTTTGAGTGTACAGGTTTTTCCCTGGATTTAAGTTTTCTATGGGTTTACTTACTTTCTCTACTTCCTGTTTGCACGTTTTTGTCTTATTTTTTAAGAACGGAAAAGTTTCAAGGGTGAGAGAGGAAAAATGCTTTTGAAATTCTGACTTCTCTCAGTCCTAGTAATTCCCTGTCTCCCCTTACAAATGCCTCTGGAGGTTTGTAGTAGTCGTGGAAATGAGCTCAAAGACCTTCTCTTTCAACTATAAATGACCAAACATCATTCTTAACTCTCCAGCGGCAGACTGCACATGTTGACACTCTCTGTTTTCCCCAACAGTCTGAATAAACCTTGGGTTTAGGTATTATTCAGCCAATTAAGAGTTTCAGAATTCTACCTCACCACAACTGCTGGTCCCACATACCGGTATAAATAGATATTCTGTGTGCATGGTTTCAATACCCATCCTGCTGCAGTGGATGCATTTGTTAGCCCACAGGCTCTCATTTATTTTGGGGGCATGAGATCCTTTCTGTCTTTCATTATTCAACTGCTTTTTTGCCCCCAGAGTGTGTAAGATCCAGCTGAGGATCCGGCAAAGCTGGGAGGCATGTGCTGAGAAAGGAAATTGAAAACCAGGATTAGATTTCAGCTGAATTAAGTGGCTGTGTTGTGACAGTGGTTTCTCAATATACTTCATAAATCTCTCTCTTCCATCTGCATCAATGCTTATTGCTAACATATTTTGACATGCTAGTTGCTTTCTACCTCTTTGGAAAAAGAAATGGGAAAACATCCAAAAAGTCCAAATTTCAGTCTTTCTCCCTCCTCCAAAGTTTTCAGAGGAAGGCTGCCAGACAGCAAGAGAAATTTGGGAGACTCCATGCTGCTCAGCACAGCATACTTTTACACAAAGACTAGGCACAGGCATATTTCTTAGGGCACCAGCAACACTGCTAATGCAAAAGAAATGGCATTATAATGAACATGCCCCATTTTTCAAAAGTCTTGTTCTGCAATGTAGGCCAAATTGAGGACTTGGCAATTGGATGCATTTGACTGCTTGGTTATTCCCCAATTCCACTCCCCTGCTTCCAGCTTGGGTCTTATAAACACAAAACTTCAAGAGGGTGTAAAATTACAGATGGGTGCAGCAGCAGTTTCTCTGCTCTCAGATGTTTTTTCTCCTATTTTAAGTTTACCTTATACTAGAGCAGAAAATGTGGCTCACATGGTCAAAATGGTGCATTTAATTCTGCCCCAGTCTTTATTTGGTTAAGAAAATCAATTACTCTCCCATTCACGTGTCAACAGTTCAAGGTTAATTGTCCCTGTTTTGTTCTGGCCTTGTCCCTGCCCTGCCCCGCACCTGACAGTATCAATTCCAAACCAAAAATATGTGACATTTGCCATCAGGAAAGCACGTGTGCATCAGACAGAAACATACTCACTACTGCATTAGATGAGAGCCTATCCTTAGCGTATGCGCCCAAGGACTAGCAAGGATGACCCAGCCCAGCTCCAGGAGGCACACGCACTGGTGGTATTTCTGCGTGCACGCCTGTGCACCCAACCACACACTGCAGAAACTGGGACCATGATCATAGAATAGAATCATAGAATCATTTAGGTTGGAAAAGACCTTTAAGATCATCCAGTCCAACCATTAACCTAACATTACCAAGTCCACACTAAACCATGTCCCAGAGTGCCACATCTGCCCATTTTTTGGATGCTTCCAGGGATGGGGACTCCACCACCTCTCTGGGCAGCCTGTGCCAGTGCTTGACTACCCTTTCCATGAAGAAATTTTTCCTAATATCCAATCTAAAATCCACACAGGGCCAGCACTGCTTTACTTCATCAGAAGCAATCAGGAAACAAAACTACCCTAGGTGGTGTTGCTGCCTTTTTGCTTTGTGGCAGTAGCTGTTCTCACACCATACCCGTATAACACCTCCCGCCAGATCTCACACCTTCCACCACCTCCCTCTGAGGGCACCTGCTGAGCTCCCAACACTAAAGGCTGTTCCTCACCTCCTTCATCTGCTCCTTACTTTCAAGATGCCCAGAGCACTCTCTGATGAAGATGGAAAGCCATCTTAAACCAGTAGGTTTGTTTTTAAATGGTTCTTGAGGACCTTGAAATGTACAACAGCATTTGCCTGGAGCCACGGTGCCTCATCCCAGAATTGAGGACCATCCTGCACATGAAAGTGTGGGTCCCTCACAGCCTCAGATATTGCAATAATCACAGAATCATAGAAGATCTCAGGTTGGAAGAGACCCATAAGGATCATCAAGTCCAACTCCCTGCTCCTTGCAGGACTACCTAAAACTAACCATATAACTAAGAGCATTGTCCAGATGCTCCTTGAACTCTGACAGTCTTGGTGCCACAACCACTTCCCTGGGGAGCCTGTTCCAGTGACCGACCACCCTTTCAGTGAAGAACCTTTCCTAATGCCCAAATGTGGCTAGAGTAGATGATACCCTGCTTGTGTTAAGCTCTATAAAATATTCTCAGATATTCTTCTTTTCTTAGCTAGATATTAACTGGTGAAGCTAAGTTGTATAGCACACAGAATGCTTTTCAAAATACTCTGTTTAATTTATAAAGGTTATCACCCTACTAGCTAGTCCAGATCTCATGACCAAGTAAATCAAGGACACACTAAATAGATAGGCGTTCCTTTGCCTTCAGAAAGGTCCCCTGGTTTTTCAAAGGTTATTGACAGACTCGGCACTAGAAAAATGTAAGAAAATATTCCCGTCTTCCTTTGCATTAACCAAGTAGGATGCAGAAGCGAGATGAGTGGGTGTTGCATTAATACAAACTAAGTAGCAATTCTAGTGTCCAGGCTTCATTTCCCCACAAATACGTAACTCCCAGCCATACTAGAAAAATGTAAGAAAATATTCCCATCTTCCTTTGCATTAAACAAGTGGGATGTGGAAATGAGATGAGGGGGTGTTGCATTAATACAAAATAAGTAGCAATTCTAGTGTCCAGGCTTTGTTTCCCCACAAATACTTAACTCCCAGACGTCCTCATTTTACCCCGAAAGACCCGAAAGCATTGAAAATGCATCTTTTTCCGAATCAGGTTGCTGATGGAGAACCTGTGAGCACCCAGGAGTTCCCTGCACAGGGTACGAGGGACCTCTTGTGGTGGCCCAGGGCTGGCCCAGCGCTCCTGCGTGCAGCCAGGCTCCAGCAAACGCCAGCTGCAGATGAAAACGAGATCCAAATTTATCTCTCTCATTAATGCAACCTAGCTCGTTTGAGACATGAAGCATTAGCGTATAACCCAATAGTGCAACCTAGTTTATCATCCTGGTCTCCAGCTACGAACGCAAGGCATCTAAAAATAAAGCAGTGCACTCTCAGTAATATTTTATCTAACGCAGCCTGCCTGACCGCGGTGCCACAAAAATAATAGCTGCTGGAAACGGCTCACCTAGCTTCAGCCTGAACCTGGTTCAATGGAGGAAAGAGCCATATCATCCCCATAAGTGCAAGACCAGAGTTCTTAGCACAGAAAAGCGCTGCTGGATCTGCGAGCCTGCCCTGTGCTTTACGTTAGGTGGCATTGCTCCAACTTTGCAACGGGAAGGCAGAGTTAGAATCATGGAATCACAGAGTGCTTTGGGTAGGAAGGGCCCTTCAGAGCTCCCCCAGCCCAGCCCCTGCAGTGCCAGGGACAGCTTTAACCAGCCCAGGGTGCTCACAGCCCCGTCCAACCTGGCCTGGGATGTTCCCAGGGATGGGGCTTCCACCGCCTCTCTGGGCAACCCCTTCCAGTGCTTGACCAGTGCTTAACTTTTGGTAGTTAAACTACCAAACGTCTCTTCCTTGCACAGGGGATCCACCTACTTTAAGAACCCCACTAGCAACGATTTCTAGTTTTTTTGTAGTGAACTCGGAAGCCACCAAATGCTGTCCTGTGACTGGCAGCGAAGCTTCATAGAGCTGACCGATACGCACTCCTAGCAAGGATCCCCATAACCTATTCGCACCTATCCTGCACACCTCAGTCGAAGAGTGGGACACATCCTGCTTTGATTTAGCTCGTCTAACACACACTGTGGCAATTTTGGTCTCCTGTTTTTTTTTTTTTTTTTTTTTTTGTAAACTATTGAATTATTTCATGTGCTCTGCTCTAGAGTTTCCTCAAAACTGATGTATTCTGTCACAAAGCCAAAAGCAATATTTATAGGCACTATATCTATCCGCTGATTTACTGACTGAAAAGATCCCACTCCAGAGACAGTCACAAAGCCACTTGTTTTCAAAAAACGGTCTCTATATTTGAGTTTCTAGTTGAGAGTCACCTTAAAAAGAGAAGTACCACCTCCAGCTGCTAGTCACACAGTCTGCAAGATGGTATGAACATTTCTTCCAAAAATCAAGTTTCATTTTTAATCCTTAGATCAACTCCTCTAAGTCTCTTTTAGGGAAAAAACAAGTTTATTTATAGGAAAAGCACCACAATTTGGTTTTTTGGAGAACACAAAGTGCTAAAAACATGTGAAGATCCCTTCTTTCTGCAGAAGAACACAACACCATTTGGAAACACCTTTTCCCGTCAAGAACACTGCTGATATCTGCTGTGGCCAACACACGATATTGCCGAGATCCACATTTGACACATACAGTCACACATTCAACTGCACCTACAAGAAGCACATCTGCTTGCAGGTTCATTTGAGACGCTACTACTCCCTTAGAAGTCCCTCTTTCATGATTAGCCCATATTTTAGCCTTCATTTATCCCAAGTCCTAGAAAGGAACCCAACAAAAAAGCACCAAATAGGAAAACGGGCCCCAACGCTGTACTCACGGGTGTGCTGCTGTCGGAGAAGGTGTTCATGCTGATGGACCTGCTCATCTTGTCCGAGGAGAGGGACGGCGGCGAGGGGCTGCGCTTGTCCAGCTGCTCGTGCTGTGGCAGGTCCTGGCGCTGCAGGTACTCACGCCATGCTCGCTGGATACTAAGGCAAACACCAAGGCACAAGGTTGGGGGGGAATGCAGCTACAAAAAGGATTTAAAAGTCATAGAATCATAGAATCGTTTAGGTTGGAAAAGACCTTTAAGATCATCCGGTCCAACCATTAACCTAATATTACCAATACATATTCTTGACCGAAGAGGTGGGGTTTGGTGGTTTTCCCTCTTTTTTTTTTTTGCACACTTTATTTTCCAATTTGGATAACGATCACACATAACCACTCTCTGTAGGTCTTCTATTAGCCACTACTAGCATAACTTGAGTTATCTGTTAAGTAGAAGCACTTCTTCACTTCAGATCCTGAAACTTCCAGTGTTTTAAATTTGAGACTGTACAGAAGTCAGCAATTGTCTTACATCTTGCAAACAAAGAAAAAAAGATGCAATTATCTGTTTAAAAGAACAACCAGCCTTCAAAATCTTGTATTTATATCAGCTTTCAGATTATAATGTAGACATGGTTGGAAATTCAGAGCCAGACCAGCACCCTTTAAAATCTCCTCCGTCCTGGGTAGCTGCGGACTTAAAACCTCCTCCAAAGCAACGCGCAGGGACTGCGGTAGAAACTCTGCTTCCCAACTCTAAACTTTGACCAAGTTTCTAAAATCTGATGTGAAATTCTGTAAAGAAATTCCATTTTCTGTGCCGGGCGGTAGCTGGGGAGCTGGAGGCTGGAGCGGCTCTCACCAGGTGGCAGTGCCGGACCGCCTGCGCCTTTCTCAAGGTGCCAGGGAGAGCAAGGGAGAGATGCTGGGAATTAAAACTGTGTTTGCAATAGTAATGGCATTAACACAAAGTACGTGGGTGTTTGCACACAGGATGATCTGTGAACTCTGCAGGAAAGCGGAGCTAAATTCTGACCTGAGACTCAGCAGTGCTGCTGCAGTGCAATGAGCTAAAACAGCTCCTTTTAGGATTTTTAAGCAGTTGAGAGTTTATTCACAGGGATATCAAGTCAGTAAAACCTTCAGTGTGTCTGTTAATCAGGTAGGGCACCCTGACCTTTGCTTAAGTTGTTCTCAGCGGTGCAAAACTCGTGTGCTGCTCACCCAGGCAGCTGGGCGGGGAGCGGGTGGGCTTGGCATGCTCAGCACCCAGCCTTGCTACTGGGGTGCTCCCCGGGAGCACACCCAAACCTCACCTGGCCCTGCTCCCACCAGCGGTGCCTGCACCCTGGGCCAGTGTGGAGGGCAATGCTCCCTCCTGAAGGGACCTCACCATGTGCCTTATGGTTCGGACCAAAGGGTCCGAAGACGTTGGCGTGGATTTACGTTATCCTAGGAATACTTACTTTTTTTTTTTTTTATGTTGCCTTTTAACAGTTCAGATGTCATTTCTGCTCCCACCTCCACAAGCCACAAAAGACATTTAGCGCCCGGACACCGCTGAAAAGGCATTTGATTACAGACTGGCACGTCCAGCTTCTTGGCTCCGCAGGAGGAGGATGAAGCTCAACGCCAGGACACCTACAGCTTCTCATTGACTGCCTACAGTGCTGGGAACTCCAGATGGTGGGAGACGCCTCTTGGCATGCAATTCTTCCTGGTCAGGGAACAACGCTCCCAACGCACATGGCATTTTGAACACCTCAAGGTTGAGGAAGTCAAATACATGTATTTTTTTATTTTTTTAGAAGAATACCAGATCAGAAAGACATCAGCATTCATTACAGCCTCACCAGGATAGGTGCGCTGTAGAGCTGCTCAGGTAGGTTAAGTCCTGCGTGGTTTTCATACAGGAGCTTTAAAATGGACAGCAAAGCTCCCAAATGCGCCTGCCAACAGAGGAGCTTTCGGTAAATGCATTTGGCTTTAAAAAATCCCCACATCTACCATACCTCAAACATTTACACTTTGCATTGTTTCAGTTTCAAGCTTTACTGCATAATATATACAAGTGGTATTTACATATTTACATTTACATGCACTTTCTATTTTAAAGCTCGAGAATATACTGAGCTGAAGTCATAACTACCCTTCTAGAAAGCTCTCTGAAAATTTATACTTTCATCAGTCCTATATTTGCATGACTAAAAGACTCTGGCTGGATTTTAATTTGAAACTTCATGTCCTTTTAATATTTTAATATAGCATTAATATTTTAACGTCCTGTATAGGGAGTTAGCTGTGGCTTTTCAACTGAAAGTGAAATTCAGCGTGTCATGTAGCAACACATACAACTCTGTGTAAAGCTGTGCCTGATGTCGCAAAATTTTGCCATGAAGTAGTTGGGGGCTTCAGCGTAAAGATGGACATATTTTTTGATGCCAGTGGATCCACGTTAAACTTTTGCTCTCTGCTGGGAAGCCCAGTGGCACCGTGTTAGCGCAGAGTTGGTGCCAGCTGGATGGAGCTGATGGCTGCACCAGGGCTGGAGGAACAACACTGGAACAGGCACAAAGAGGAGTCCTCTGCTCCAATAGACACATGGGTAAGATTTAAATTATATCCCCAGTGTTACCACGTGTCCTGATACAGCACATCGAGCCTTTTAGAATAACTGACCCCACGGTAAACTATACAACATGTGGGAGATGTATTACAAAGGCGAAAATTATTGCATTTGGAAGTTGGGGAGTTCGTTACCAGAGCACAGTGATGCTTATCCCTTCCTTCCAGGTGATGCAGCTAGGTGTCATCTATGTGCCTTGGCCGAGCGTTAGCAACTGCCTTGCTTTCCAATAAAAACCAGCTTGCTTAGAGCCATACAGCCGTGCTGCACCCCCTGGGCCAGGAACCCTCGTCCCCTCGGCCTTCCATCCCATGCAAACCCAAGGACCGCTCCTTGCGGAGCAGTCCCGTGAGCCACCTGAGGAGCTCTAACCAACCTTCACATTAGATCTCAAAAACGCCACTGAAGAGACTTCGGCTTGCTCTGCACTATACGTCCCTCCACCAGGATGTTCTCTGTATATGTGAAAAATCTAGCAGGTTTTCAAATATTCTATAGTTTCACAGAGGAAATGACAAAGTTATTGCAACTTTGAAGTTTAACATTTGAAACTCAGTTCAAAAAGAACGTTCACATGCACAAAGGTAGAGAAGAGCTCAGCTACCTTGCAAAACTGAGGCTTTTTTATACTTAAAGTTACACAGAAATCCACGATGGACACAGTCTGGGTGCTGTGGTTCAGGAATTGGACAAGCTCAGCTGTGTTTAAAGGCAGAAAAGGCATTCTTTGTTACTTACATTTTCACTTTTGATTCCAAGGGCTGTAAGTTGATATGATATTTTTCGATATTATTTTCTTCATCCATGGCAAGCTGATGGCTACGGAAAAGAAAAAAAAAACCAGGGTTTAACATGTCTCAGCATGATGTTTTTGCAATCACTATGAATTAATTCAGAAATTTTGACAGGAATGCACAAGAGCTGCTCATTATAAGGTATCACTGTCTTTGGAGGAAGGCATTTGGGTCCCCATCTCCAGCCCCATTTGACTGTTAACAAAAAGTACCAATTTGGATCCAGTTTCCAGGTGGGAGCCTGCCTGAGTCTTTGCACTAAACCTTCCAGATGCCACAGCTCCAGAGACAGGCACACCCAGCAAAGAAGCCACTGCAAATAAAAAAACGCTGGCAAATACAATAGATATTCTTGCTAAATTAACTTTCATCCCTGGGGCTACATTTGAAAAGCTGGAGAGTAAAATGGAAAGTAACAATGGTAATGCCGGTAGCAAATGAATTACATCAGCAAGAGCCATACAGGAATATGAAGAAAAAATTCTTTGTAATAAATGATGACCCAGGAATTGGTGCTGCAAACCAATCATTTTCAGAAAGCAATTTTAAAATGATAGAAGATAAAAATCAAGCATCTCAGGACGCTGCTTTGGATGGGACTAGCAACATGAATGAAAGGTCTTCACATGAAAATTGGTAAGATTAGACCCCAACCTGTGGAGTTATTTTGAGACTTTACTGGACACTTAATTACATCATTCAATCAGCAGCAGTTTTCAGACATTATCCTCCTGTAACTAAAAATAAGAATTGTTTATGGGAGAGATGCAAAATCTTGAATATTTAGTATACTACCAAGTGAGAAACATAGCCTACAATGAAGAGACTGCCCCTCAGAAAGGGCTTATTGCCTTATAAAAGCCATTTCACTTTATCATGCGTGAGATACTGCGGAAATCACACATTTACCTTTGAAGCAAGTCTTTGCCATCATTGACATGTTCCAAGGTGTGCTGGAGCCTTTTGAGTTCTTCCTACAAGGAGAGAAAAAACAGTTCAATGTGCTTATGGGAAGCCCTTGGTTGACATTTGTCGTGGTTTAACCCCACCAGCAACTCAGCCCCACGCAGCTGCTCACTCGTTCCCCCCACAGTGGGGTCGGGGAGAGAATCGGAAGGGTAGAAGTGAGCAAACTCGTGGGTTGAGATAAAGACAGTTGAATAGGGAAAGCAAAAGCCGCGCACGCAAGCAAAGCAAACCAAGGAATTCCTTCCCTGCTTCCCGTGGGCAGGCAGGTGCTCAGCCATCCCCAGGAAAGCCGGGCTCCATCACGCCTGACGCTGACTTGGGCAGACAAACGCCGTCGCTCCCAACGTCCCCCCCTTCCTTCTCCCCCCAGCTCTGTGTGCTGAGCATGACGCCATGGGGTGTGGGACATCCCTTGGGGCAGCTGGGCTCAGCTGTCCCGGCCGGGTCCCCTCCCAGCTCCTCGTGCCCCCCAGCCTGCTCGCTGTGGGGTGGGGTGGGGAGCAGAAAAGGCCGCGTTGCTCGTCAGGAACCAAAACATCCCTGGGTGATCAGCGCTGTTGGCAGCACAAATCCAAACCGTAGCCCCATGCTCGCTACTGCGAAGAAAATGAACTCTGTCCCAGCCAAAACCAGCACAACATTGGAGATTCCTCCTCAAGCTCAAGATGTTGTGAGCCAACCACTAAACAAAACAGTCCCCTGGGTAATGTCTATGGGGTTGCCTTCAAATTTAGATAACTAAAATAACCATAAAGAAACCAGTGTGTTTTTCAATATGTCCAGCACATAAGTTTGAAAGAAAATATCAGACCTACAAAAATAATAGGCAGAGCAAAAGAGGAAAGTATTCTTTCATGTTTCAGGTGTGTGGCTGTTTTGATTTCAGAAGAGATGGTCTTGGTAAGAAGCAAGTGAGCATCAGCTCATACTTTCAGGCACTTCCCTTTGTTCTGCAATCAAACAGTATTCAGCCTCACAATTGGGATTTACAACCTGATGCCTTTACCAGGGTATTTGCATCAGATCCTGTTTCAATAGCAGAGATATCACAAATTTAACTGCAGATGTATAGCTGGGGTTCCCCGCATCCATGTCAATGTCCCAGGAAGAAAACCTACCCGTTGCGTTCAGCACGGAGATAAGGCTTAAAAAACTAAATTGTATCTGGCTGGCAGGGTTTTATTGTGCAGAAGAGGTGGGAGTTGGGGGGTGGAGGAGAACCTGGTTGCAATGAAGCGTGTGCTCCACGGGATGCAACTACAGGGCTGAACTTTCCAAGCCCTTACAGGGCACAATCCCGCAGAGCGCCCTGGCTTCGCCGGGACACGCACACGCAGAGGACACGCACCCAGCCTCCTTAAAAGCTGGGCTGACAAGCAAATGCTGAACCCCTCGACTGCATCCCTGTGATGCGACGCAAAGAGCGTCACCGTCCCGAGATGCAGGGATGTGCCTTCAGGTTTGTGTTTGTACATCAACTGTTTGCTAATTAAGCAACACTGGAAAATGAGAAGTCTATGCAAAACACAAAGATGTTAACTCATGACTTCTTTTAGCTCATTAAGTTGGGAATCAAATGTAAAAGCAAAAGCTACTCAGAGTAAGGAAGGAAGGTAATTTACTTCACACCTACCTTGCATATAGATACAGGATTCCCAGAAAGGCTAAGACCATTAAAAAGGCAAAACAAGGATATTTTCATCTTGTATATCTTATCTGACCGGGGGATGGATCATAGATTTTCATTTCCAATAAGGCTGCTGCAGTCTTCATGAGCACAACAGATCAGGCAGCTCTACCTTCTGCTTTCCCAAATAAAGCTGATTTTGTGAAACAGAGAAATTTTACGTGGCGCTTTTTAATCCTGTACAAGATTCTACCCTGTTTGACATGAAACAAGATCACAGTTGGTAGCTGATTTACTCCTAATACAGCTTTCATTTCTTCCCAGCCTTGGAAGGACTATTACTGCAAAATATGTTTTATGCATAAACTAGATTTGTCAAGATGACAAGTTAGATGTTTCTCCAGTCTTTGCCCCTCTGGGTCTCTAATTGTAGCACCATTTTGTGGACACGCTGCAGCTGATAAAGCACTGCGGTGATTCGGGATGCCTGGCTCTGCTGCCTACTGCTCATCAGCCATTGGAAATAATCCAGTCATGAAGCTTCTTTTTATTTTTGCCTTTTTTTTTTTTTTTTCTCCCCTCTTGTGAGGAACATCCTCTTCTGGTATATTAAAACCAAGCAACTTTCAAAATTGTTTTCTTTGAAGCACAGTTCAGTTCAGCAGATAACCTTTTCTTCTCTCATATTATTCCGTTGGTCATTTTTTCAGCGTATCCCAGAGCTATGTACAGTAATTTAGAATGGGAAAACAATTTGCAACTGACTTTATATATAGCTCTGGGTGACAAAACCTGCATGACTTACATAAATCATTTCTTGTGTTTGACATCATTTTCTATTAACCTCGGGGTGAAGACTGAACAAAAAAAAAAAGTAAAAACCAAAATTGGTTGTGACATTTTTGACTATTCAGTCTTTCAATTAAACATCACCGGACAGTCTTTATAAAAGCCGTAATATAAGGCAACTACAGAAGGGGCATAGCAATGTTTGCATAATTGGGAAGAGAAGGAGACATAAAATCTATACTAATTTCAGTTTTGCGTCATTAACCATGAAGTATTGATTATTGCTCCTTGCAACAAAATTTATGAAGCTAGCTATGTTGCTGCGCCCACAGAAAGTGACTCGGCTGCTTTGGCCTCAGCCCCCGGAGCGGTAAGTGATGGGTGGCAGCGACAGCCGGGCTGCTGCTCTTCCAACCCGCAGCCTTAGGAGATGCATCTCCCAGATTACACCAGGAGTGACCCAGCTGCAAACTCGAACTTCAGAAAATTAAATTGGAAGAGATCCATGCTTCTGTTGGAATACATGATGAATTATGATGCCTCTATAAACCTTGTTATAATGTAAACATATTGTAAAATTTACTGCAGCTTTCATTTTCCTTCTTCAGTTGAATACAGACATTAATAGCAATCGGGTAGCTACACACACATAGATACCTAAGGAAGAAAAAGCAATGAAACCTTGAAACACAAGACTGGTGTTTGGAGCAAACTAAAGTGTCTTTTTCTAGTCTTTAACATGTACATTAATTATTTTTCAGCCTGTGGATCTGTACTTTTAGGAAACTAGGCTATTGCCATGACTTAATTATTGCCAGGAGGCCCTGTAACATTATGGGACAGAAAAGACCAAGGGGCTCAAGTCTATAGACTCTCCCCAGGGAGAAGCCCATGTAAAAGAGCTGGTTTAAGCTGCACTGAACAACCCAGAGGTTGCCATAGACTTTGGTCCTTGTTTAGGCGTGCACAGAAATGTCACCTCTCGTTTGACCAGCTGTGGAGATGATGGCAGCCAGCAGATATGGGATCCTCGAGGCAGGGTCAGACGCAGAGGAGCAGAAATCTAAAACAGTCTAAACGCACCAGTCCCTAAATTCATTTTGAAGAAGTCTGTTTCAAAAAACCGCTATTAGTGCAAATTCTAAGGAAAGAAAAAAAATCTGCAGACGTTAACTCATACCTAGATAAATATTCACCTCCAGTAGCAGGCAATGATACTTTTTGTTGCTGTACCCAAAAAATATCCATTCAGGTCAGTGAAGCTATTTATACCCGTGCGTTTGGACTAGCACAGAGAAATCGCAGCAGAGGCCACATATTAAAAATTAATTTTCAAAATCCTTTTTGGACACACGTGCTGTTTTTTCAGTATCTCTAAGAGGTCCGTAAATTGGTGCCAAATGAATATACAACAGTGCTTCCCAAGAGGTGAGAGAATGGAGATTGGACGAGAAAGCTTTGATTTCAGTAGAACTGCAGCCTAGAAATAGCAGTAAAATAGGTTTGGTTTTCCATTTTGTAATTAAGAGTGAGCGTAGCAGTTATTCAAACATGCCAGCTTTGGGTAGTTCTATATTTCATTGATGTTCTTCCAAATTTTAATCGAAATTCTGTTGAATGGTGATTTTCTATTATGCAGGAAAACTTGCACTTATGTGAGTTTCTTCCTCCCCTTCCTTGCAAATCGCTTGGCGAAACACCACAGTGCCAGTTTGAGATCCTCCTCTTCTGGCATAGAAAGGCCACAGTGACTGGAGAAATCCTACGCCGCAGCGGCACGGTTGCTCTCGCCCCGTCGGAGCAGGGTGCCGGGAAGGGGCTGGAGCACCAGCCCTGCCCAACAGCACCCGGGTGAGATGTGACGGAGCAGAGCACAGCCCAGCTGCTGCCTCGAAGGCAAACTATGTCTCACCAGCCTGCCGGTGCTATGCAGGGAGGGAGATAGCACCCAGAGCTTTAATTTGGAAATATCAATAAAGATCACTGGAGCTTTCAGAGCCGCTCTCTTGCCAGAGAACGCATTAGCTCATCCCATCGTTCCAGAGCTGATGCATTTAAAGACAAACGTATGACAACTTCTCCGTAGCACGGACACAGGCAGGTGCAAGACCGATCGCTCCTTTCCCAGCACCACCTCAGCCAGGGCAAGCGCAGCGCAAGGCAGCCTGAAGCCAGAAACACTGCAATGCCTGCTGCCCTTAAGACAAGAAGCCATGCAGGGTCCGTCCTCTGATCAAAGCCACCTGATGCCTCTTTCTGTCACCTATCAGGAAGCCACTTTAGAGGCTTAAACATTCTCACCTCCTGCCGTTTTCCAATCCTGTTGTCATCGGAGGTGGATACAAGATAATGAAGCGCGCTCTGCTGCTGCTCTCCTCTTCCAGTCCCTCGCACCGGGCTGGGGACAGCACACACGGTGCTAAACCACCTTTAGCACCAGCTCTGATCCGCGTGCCACTTGTACCCCAGCACAGGAGCAGCAGCCTCAGCTGCTTTTCAAACACCCCAGCTGCTTTCGGTTACTGGAAGCAGTCCATTGCCAATGCTGTTCCCAGCTGCTCACACCCAGGTCTGCTGTTATCCCTGTTG